TGTAATGTTTTTTTTTTTTTTTGGGGCGGGGGGGGGGGAGGGGGGGTCAGTTTCTGTTTTTTTTTTTTTTTTTTTTTTTTTTTTTTTTTTTTTTTTTTTTTTTCTTCTACATGTATTTTAAAAATAACAAAAAATTTATACTAATGAAGATGCTGTTATAGAAAAGAGTCTGCAAAGCTCATAATACCACAAACAAATTTATAATTTTCACGATTTGAAAATTAAATTAAAAAATTTCCACTGTTAGCTTTGCATTTAATTTACGCAAACGATGCAAGGTTCTTCATCATTAATTAACTTCGATATTTTGTGGAGTTTAAGACAAATCTTTCTTGGATATCTAAGTGTATGTGAAGTACAAAATTGATCGTCAGTAAAAAAAATACTGAGATGGGTCTGCACGGATGCCACTGCTTTGACTGTAAATATGCTTCCATTTCCCTTGAAATATTGATCAATTATGTATAATATGGTTATTGTACATAAAAGTTACAGATTAATTTCTTCTCAACTCAAATTTATTACACAAAATATTTCTAGTCCTTAATAGTTACAGATTTACTTCTTGTCAATATTATTTTGACCAAGTCCATTTCACAAAGTTTTTGTAATGCGAATTATAAATAAATAAATAATATATATATATATATATATATATATATATATAACACAGTGTGTGTGTGTCTTTGAGAGATTAAATGAGGATCATATTTCTCATGTGTGATTGACGTAATGCATGATTATTGTAAACTAGCAATTTAAACTAGCAAATGCACATCTTAAAAATGTAAATAAATAATTAAAACACACAATAAATCACTAATTAATTAATCAACATATATACCAGGACTATGTGGTCTAATGGTACCCGGGTTGGACTTCCATTTGGAAGATTATGAGTTCGAGCCTCAGTGGAGGCGTTATTGGTTCTTTGTGTTTCAGCAGGTTGAGAAAGTATATGAACAGATACTACAATGTAATAGGACCAGTAACTTTCAAAAAAAAAAATTAATCAACATATATAACTAATAAAACCAAAGCATATATCTCAAATTTGAAGATTTTTTTAGATTAAAATGTATACTTGATGCCATTCGTTATTAAAATCTTGATAAAAGAAATAAGATAATAAAGAAAAATGATCACTTTAATTATTTAATTTATTTCTTTTTGTTTAATGAATTTGAACTTTAATATATATTTTGAGTTCATTTAATATAAACATAATAGATTATTTAAAAAAAAAAAAAAATTAGAAGGGGAGTCAAAGTGTATTTTATCCCTACTATATCAATATATACATGCATATTTACTAAAAAATTTAAGGTAGGGGTAGGGGTAGGGTGAGGGTGGCCCCTGGCCCCTAATGTACCTCCGTCCTTGGTCAAATGAAACTGTAGTTGAATAAGAACGATAATTTAGTGGTGTTAGGGGTGTAAACGAGCCGAGCCGAGCTCGAGCCTAGGTAGGCTCGAGCTCGAGCTCGTTAATGGAGGCTCGGCTCGAGTTTGAGCTCGAGCTCGAGAATTGATGCTCGAGCTCGATAATTTTCGGGCTGCTCGAGCTCGGCTCGAGCAGCTCGATTATTCAAGTTCGAACTCGAGCTCGATCTTGAGCTCGAGTTCGAGCTCGATTTTGACATTGAATTTGACCTATTTAATACTTTTGATTAAAAATTCAAACTACTTTGTTTTATCCATACATAAATAATAGAAATCTTTTAGGGATTTTAAGTTTAAAAATTTGAATTTCTAATTGTTATTTTTATATATTATTATTGTTATATTATATTATATTATGTATTATATATATTATATATTATATGGCTCGCGAGCGGCTCGACGAGCCACGAGCCTAGAATATCTAGGCTCGGCTCGAGCTCGATTACTAAACGAGTCGCTCGAGCTCGATTTTGGCCGAGCTCGAGCCGAGCAGCTCGCAAGCGGCTCGCGAGCTGCTCGGCTCATTTACACCCCTAAGTGGTGTTGTAATGAAACTACATTATTGTGCATAAAATGAAACTTAATAGCAAGTATCACATATGAAATGTATGTATATGTTTAAATGGAACTGTATTTTAATTATAATGATACTTTAGTGGTGTTGTAATGAAATTATAGTGTGTATAAAATGAAGTTGAATAACATGTTTACATATTTAATATATATCGTCAACTGAAATTGTAATCGAATAACTTTAGGTTTACTGTAATGAAACTACTATACATTGTGTATAAAATGCAACTAAATAATCGGTTTCACATATTGAGTAAATAAAACTGTAGTTGAATTTGAATGATATTGTAGTTGTGTTGTAATGAAACTACAATATATATAAAATGAAACTGAATAATGAGAGAGGTTTCTACATGGACCATAATATAATTTTTCGTCTATCACAGTTAACGTGAAAATTTAGAACGACACGTACTATTTTTTGACTTGATCCACGCTGCTATATGAATCGCGGTACACAGTAAAATATGCCCTCTACCTCTACTTCTTTTTTTGAAATAACTACCTCTACTTCTAGTGACTACTAACAAATCAAAATTATTAACCTTTTTTTAGATTAACGGTGTTGGGTTTGTTGAATCCTATTCCGGGCATGATGAGAATGGTCCAATAGGTCCGGAGGAAATTTAGTTTGGTCTTTGGACGACGTATGACGCACGAGGATGTTCCAGGAAAACAGAACTACTGGGCCTGATATTGTGTTGTTCGTTAGCTAAGTGGGAATTTTTAAAGCAGGACAATCGAGCTAATTGCCGTTTGGTCTTTGTTTAATATTGACTTATCCATAGATTTGACATATCGATTGAAAGAAATCACAAATTCTTGTGTCTGAACGCGTTGCTTCGCAGTCCGCAGCATACGTGACAACTTTTATTTGCATTTTGGAGACGACTTCATCGTGCCGCGTGTTCTCTGGTTTATATTGTTCGATCCACACCCTTGATTGGTGGTTGGTTATGGTTTTGTATTGTTCCTAACAACACGGAGACAACCTTTGTTTAGTGTGCATAAAAAGTCTCTCTTACAATATTGTTGCTTATTATTGGTGTTTTAATAAGACTCGATCTCAAGTTATTGTTCTCAAACTTCACTCTTGACCAACTGAGCTGCTCATGCTGGTTGGTTATAGTTTTGTGAAATAGATGAATTGAAGTTGGTTACTTTGTCTCAATATAGACACCGCCAACTCTTCTGTGTGGAAATTTAATGAGCATATTTAAGAGGATAGAAAATTGTGGTTGGAAGACCGGCAATGACTAGGGGTGTGCAAATTTTGGAGAAATTTCGGTTAACCGACCGAACCGACGAAATTCGGTTAACCGTTTTCGAACCGAAATATTTCGGTTCGGTTAATGGTTAAAGGTTTTCCTAAAATTCGGTTAACGGTTAATTCGGTTCGAAAGTGTCGGTTAACCGAATTAACCGAACGGTTAACCGAATTTTAGAATATATATATAATATATAATATATTAAATATTAAATATATAATTACTAAAATAAAAAATAGTCAAAATGTCAAATAGAATACATAATAATATGAATTTATTATGATATGTATTTTATTTTAATTAGAATTATTATTTTAGGAATTATTTTATAGATTTTAAATTTTAGGGTTAAAAATTTCGGTTAATCGGTTAACCGACCGATTAACCGAAAAAAAGTTCGGTTCGGTCAATTCGGTAGAGTAAATTTCGGTTCGGTTAACGGTTAAAGCAAAAAAAAGTTCGGTTAATTCGGTTCGGTTAAAACGGTTCGGTTAACCGAACGGTTAACCGAATGAACACCCCTAGCAATGACTTTGACATTATCTCCACTTTTGATTTAAATCATCTTTCTAAAATGTTACTGCGCAAAGAAAAAGTCAAAAGACATATGGAATAATTACAATTATAACAACAACAACAGCAACAACAATAATAATAATAATAATGTGCCCAAATTCGCAATACAAAAGGATTTTTAAAAGTAGGGAGATGTCCAAAGCTGGAACAGCATGCAAGTTTCGAACCTCTATCCTATTAAAATACAATAAAAACACATTTTTACCATTTCTTCATGGAACCTTTTAAATTTAATTGAAATCTTTTAGTTTTTATTTTAAACTAGCTTTGTAAAAATTAAATATTAGACCTCTAAAATTTGAGGTAATGTGCTTTAGCCCAGCTTGCACAACCCAAAATCCGACCCTATTGATCGATTACCCGACAATAACCCATAAAAAATAGAGATTGCATTAAATTTTGGACTTGTGTGTTAATTGAGTCATTTAGGAATCTGGGATAATAGATAGGTTTATTTGACTCTTATCATTGAGTTTTATGAATGAAACAACAAATGTTAACTATCTTCTCGTGTGGAATTAAGTAGCAATTGGACTGCACATTTATATTACTCCGTATATATGTTTAAGACATACTTCATGTGTGTTTATATATTATAGGCTCAACACACCCCATGTGTGATGACCTTATGCATAATGTTGCTTCGGATACTAAATTAAATGATATATGCACAGATTGAGATGTGTTCTATCAAAACTTAAAGTTAAGCTAATAATTATATACCTCTCTATTTCATTATACATGCCATATTTATTATTTATTGGCTAAATCAATTATTTATTCTTTGTTTTTTCTTAAAAAAAAATATTTTCAATCATTTTTATAAATGTATATTTTTATTAATAATATTTTAATGTATTTTTTAAATACATAAATTTTATATAATAATATTGAACTTAATATTATACAAAATTGAATTAAAATAACTCGTTAATTAAATCAGATACATAAACTAAGTATCTTATATATATGCTCAAGTACATATTAATCAATGTGTAATGTGAGCATTAGATACCGGATATGATTACCAAAAAAAAAATTGACTTTCAAGACTTATAGCCTTCTAACCAAACCATACTCCAAATTTAATTTCCACCAGTAAAGGGTGCAATTCTATTTTATTTTTATCCCTGTCAGCATGTATATTGCCCAACAGTGAGACGACCCAGTTGTTACGTCAATATTGTGTTGCCGGTCGTCCTCCGATCGTTTACGTTTGACCAGTACACAACTTCACTTCAATTCGCGGCGGCCATAATGTTTTCTGACAACCCCTTAGCCTCAGCATGCATCAATTCCCAGTCTTCAACGATATGATGCGGCTGATGATGACCATTTCTCTTTCTGTGTTGTTAACATGCACGCTCTTTATTCCACCATCAACTCACGCCGCTTCTGGTCTAAACTTCACCTTTCCCAGTTTCAGTCCAAACGATCATAACATAATCTACGATGGGAGTGCCTCTGCGTCCGATGAAGTTATTCTGCTAACCTCGTACCAGAAAGATCGCATGTACAACGACACTGGTCGGGCTACGTACAAACAACAAATGCATCTTTGGGACAAGGAGACAGGGAATCTGGCGAACTTCACCACCAGCTTTTCATTCTTGATCAAACCAATTGATGAAAAGCATGAATCGTTGAATAGATCGCAAGTTCCGGATTCATATCCGGAGATAGGTGATGGGCTGACATTCTTTCTTGCTTCCAATATCTCCGCCCTGTCGTCTTTAAACGCCGGCGGCGGCCTGGGAATTGGGATCAATACTGACCAAGATGGTACCTCGAGCTCTAAAGAGTTCCGGTTCATTGCTATCGAGTTCGATACGAATCAGAATGCATGGGATCTTGAGAACGGACCTCACGTGGGTATCGACGACAATTCTTTAATGTCTGTTCGCCGCGTGCAGTGGATTGGTGAAGATGAAATTGTACGCGGCGAACAGCGAGCTGAAATTGCCTATAATGGCGTGTCGAAAACGTTAAGCGTTTCCTTCACCAACTCTTCGCGGGATGGAGATGGAGATGGTATTGGTAGGTTTAACTATACAATTGATTTGGGAAAGCTGCAGGCAGAGTTTGTCACGATTGGGTTCTCAGCCAGCACGGGAACCGTCACAGAGCAAAATATTATTTCCTCCTGGAGTTTTAGTTCAAGTATAAACATCTCTGATGAAGGCTCTGAGTATAACAATGGCAGAAATCGAAATCCCCGCCATCATCATCTTAGTAAAAAAGGGTTGGCGGGATTGATTGTTGGTGGGTTTTTTGTGATTGGTTTTCTGTTAATATTCCTCGCTGGGATCATAAAGAAGAGGAGGGAGGGAGAGAAAATTAGTAGATTTTCTATTGTCAACTCAGTCTTGTGTGATGAAATTGGCAGTGGAGGTTTTGGGCCTATGCAGTTTTCCTACAAGCAGCTCTCACGTGCAACCACAAACTTTGCAGAGACCAAGAAGCTTGGACAAGGCGGATTTGGCAGTGTCTATTTCGGGTTTCTGAGGGATCTGAACTTACACGTTGCCATTAAGAGGGTTTCAAGAACATCTAACCAAGGGATAAAAGAGTATGCCTCAGAAGTAAAGATCATCAGCAAGCTGAGGCACAAGAATCTGGTGAAATTGGTTGGCTGGTGCCACGAGAAAAACGATCTACTTCTTGCTTATGAACTGCTTCCAAATGGCAGCCTCGACCGCTTTCTGTTCAGCAAGACGGATCTGTTAACGTGGGATTTGAGGTACAAGGTTGCCACGGGCCTGGCATCAGCTTTGCTATATTTGCACGAGGAATGGGAGCAATGTGTGCTGCATAGAGATGTTAAGTCTAGCAATGTTATGTTGGACAAAGGGTTTAATGCTAAACTCGGGGATTTCGGGCTGGCAAGGCTGGTTGATCACGAAAAGGGAGCACAAACCACAACATTGGCAGGCACCATGGGGTACATTGCCCCAGAATCTGTCTTGACAGGGAAAGCAAGCAAGGAAACAGACATATATAGCTTTGGCATTGTGGCTCTCGAAATCGCCTGTGGGAGAAAGCCTATTGAGCCAAGGGCTGAACCAGACAAGGTTTTACTAGTAGATTGGGTCTGGGAGCTGTATGGATCAGGCACAATTCTTGGGGCTGCGGATCCAAAACTATGCTCAATTTTTGATGAGCAAGAAATGCAAAGCCTCATAACCGTCGGGCTCTGGTCTGCTCATCCTGATTATAGTCAAAGACCTTCGATTCAACAAGTGGTGCGCGTTCTTAAGTTTGAATCTCCCTTACCCGTTCTTCCATCAAAGATGCCTGTCGCGACGTATCCTGCATCTACTCCTGTTTCTAATGCCAGTCTGCCTACTTCTTCCTTTTCATTTTCCATTGGTGCCACCTCTTCATTTTCTTCATAAGGGATGGTTAATGGTTTATTGTAAGGTATTGTAAAGTCTGCATACTAAACATAGAGTGTAATTCTTGTTAGTGTATCTTTGAAGTTTTGTAATACATTACAATATATAGTTTTGCAATAAACAGAAAAATGGACTGTTAATGATGACTGTTGAGATTAACAATAACAATGACAAAAAGTAAAGAAGACAAAGATTTACGAAACTGTTATTTTATTAATTGTTGTGGTAAAACATTCAGGGTTACGAAGAACACGTCATCTTCCAGTACATATGAGACATACGCAACAATGACGGATTTCATCTCACATTATTTTAGTGCCCATCTGTGGGCTCTTCCCATTTTGGAGATTTAAGTTCAGAGCCATTATAGTCATAACAAGGCAAAATGGTGTCAGTTTCCATGTCATATAGCCTCCAAGAATCCATTGAGAGATGAGTGAAGTAAATACAGTTTCTTCTGCAACCCACTTGGGTTGCAGTGACTGAGAAGCAGCTATTAATCCCTGCAAACAATGTTCTATCACCAAGGCTTTCCAACTTTATCCATGAGAGTTCATGACCATCCTGAAGCTTGAAGACCTCAACATGATCCACAGACATGACTGATTTTCTGCAAATGAGGAAAACCAACAAGATTTCTCCACTGGATTCGAGTAAGTACTCGGTGAAACGCTTTGATGGTACCGAAGGAACAGCCCGCCTTCTGCATAACTTTGTGATATGAAACTGAGAATCAACTTCTTCTATTACTGCCATGGTTCCCTGTAGAGTCAATGCATAAAATTTGCCACTGTAGCCAACTAAATTGGTGAATTTCATGAGTTGCTGTTCTGAATCATTGGGGTCAATGAGGGTGGTGTCCTTCTTAGACCACTCCAGTGCCCTGAAACAAAACCATCTTTTCCTCTTCCAGCACTCGATACGAGAAACAGAAAAAGCTGGAGAAGAACAGCCTGTGATAGCCATAACATTGCAGCCATTAGGATCCATTAGAAATGAAGATAGGGCAGTGGTTTTGATTGGAACCTGAGCATCCCAGGGAGGAAGACTGCACGTTCTACCACTGTAAACTTGGGTGGGATCAAAAATATAGCAAGGGGTTAAAATCAGGCCATGAGAGCAACCAAGAAACTGCTCCCAGCTTGTCTCAGGTTTACTTCTCCCCCACCAGTAGTAGCCACCTTCATAAAATGAGATGCTGAGAGTGTACTGGCAAGTCTTCCCATGGCATTGATGATCCTCCTGGTAAAGTTGAAGCAGTGGGGCTTTAAAACTAGGAACACATTGTCGGTTTGTTCCGATTTTCCACGATTTCGTGACACCAGCAGAGCCTACATTTTGGATCAACTTCAGATGAGGTTTCCTTCCCATGAAGTTGAGTAGCTGCTGGGGAAGATTTGGCCATTGCTCTGAACACAGGCCCTCTTCACTTGTCAGTAAGTCTTTCTTCTTCCTGCTAGGGGCCATGTTTTGATATTTGATGAGGAGTTCTGTGACATATCTTGAAGTCAAGGCTGAGTTGCATATATATGCAATTTGTAAACGTACCCTCCAAGTCCCAGCTGTACTGTTTTATGTTACTCCGTATTAATTGTTTTTGCAGAAAGGATAGTTGACTTCTTGATGCCCAAGTTTAGTTAGGTTCCACCCAATGTTGTAAAAATTGACCTAGGCGGTGGCCTAGGCGCTAGGTACTCATAGACCGAGGCGATTTCAGCTCTAGGCGATTTTTAGTTGGTTGGCCAACTAGTCGGCCGATTTGGGCGCTTAACTCTGTCTAGTTAGCGGCCCAACTAAGTTAAGTCGGCGCCCAACTCAACCGAATGGTATTTTTTGCCTACTCAGTTGCTTCTCTTCTATATTCCTCCAGTCATATACTCAACTAACCATCTAACATATGTAGTTGACTAGTTTGTGGGATTATAATAGTCTAGTAACTCACAGTCCTGAGTGAAAAAAGTGGAAACAATATATACTCGAATTACTCGACCGCCTCAGCTGCCTGACTAACGCCTTGCACCTTCTGGAACATTGATTCCACCAGAAAACCTGGTCAAGACTCTAAGAACACCACCTACAGCTAGTTTCTTTGTCAAGAACTCACAACAGCCAATATAGAAGTCAATAACAAACCAGAACATAATGAAAAGGAAACAACCTTAGTAAGAGTTCAGTTTATTGTTGTAAGAGTGAATGTTGGGTTGTTGCCTGGGTTTTTAGTTGTATCTGTAATAAATAATGCTGTAGATGATAGTAATAAATTGATATCTGAAATTCTGAAGTGATCTCCTTGACTGAACCTCTCTTTGAGGCCATTCCAGACATCTTCAGTAGACTCCAGGTAAACAAAGAGGGACTTTCACTTGAATGCACATAATATAATGGAAATTGCCTGGATCTTGTGGATCAACCAGCAAATTCATTCCAGCTTGGGCTTGCCAAACTAGACTACTGATTATTTTCTATTATAAATAATTCATGTATTTTGAAGCTTTTAGTGTATGTGTTCAAGAATGGTATTATGTGAATTCTTACTATTTTCTTTTTGTGCATATTTAACATCAAACTCATATAATTTTGTGTTAATTGAAAATTGAGTATGTGCTTATTTTATTCATTTGTGACATTAAGGTGATTGGGAAGCATTGATTGTAAAATAATGTGAATTGGAGCACAATTGGATATGTTTTAAAGTCATTATTGACACAAATGTGCATTTCACGAGTCGCGAGAAGTCAAGAAAGTGAAAAGGAACCAGTTAGAAGTACGATGGCATGACTCGGGGATCCAAAGGCACAAAGGAAATGAAAAAAAAAAAAAAATACAATTTAGAATGAAGATCAAGACTCATGAAGAGTTATCAAATAGAAAGGGAGGTGAAGAGCTTATAACATACAAAGTTTTGCAATACACAGAAAAATGGACTTATGATGATGACAGATTTCATTATCTCACATTATTTTACTGCCCATCTGTGGGCTCTTCCCATTTTGGAGATTTAAGTTCAGAGCCACTATTATAGTCATAACAAGGCAAAATGGTGTCAGTTTCCATGTCATATAGCCTCCAAGAATCCTTTGAGAGATGAGTGAAGTAAATAGAGTTTCTTCTGCAACCCACTTGGGTTGCAGTGACTGAGAAGCAGCTATTAATCCCTGCAAACAATGTCCTATCACCAAGACTTTCCATCTTTATCCATGAGAGTTCATCCCCAAGCTGAAGCTTCAAGACCTCAACATGATCCACAGACATAACTGATTTTCTGCAAATGAGGAAAACCAACAAGATTTCTCCACTGGATTCGAGTAAGTACTCGGTGAAACGCTTTGATGGTACCAAAGGAACAGCCCGCCTTCTGCATAACTTTGTGATACGAAACTGAGAATCAACTTCTTCTATTACTGCCAGGGTTCCCTGCAGAGTCAATGCATAAAATTTGCCACTATAGCCAACTACATTGGTGAATTTCATGAGTTCCTGTTCTGAATCATTGGGGTCAATGAGGGTGCTATCTTGCTTAGACCACTCCAGTGCCTTGAAATAACACCATCTTCTTTCAGTCCAGCACTCTACACGAGAAACTCCGAAAGCAGGAGAATCACAGCCTGTGATGGCCATCACATTGCAGCCATTAGGATCCACTGGAAATGAAGATAAAGTGGCACTTCTCATTGGAACCTGATGATGATGAGTATCCCAGGAAGGAAGCATCGTTTGGTGAAGGTAGGATTTGGTGGGATCCATAAAAGAGGAAGGAGTCAAAATCAGGCCATGAGAGCAGCCAAGAAACTGGTCGTCCCAACTTTTCTCTGGTGACCTTCTACTTCTCCACCACCACTGATAGAAACCTTGATAGAATGAGATGCTGAGAGTGTAGCGGCCATGGCATTGATGATGATCACTATCAGCATGATAAAGTTGAAGCAGTGGGGCTTTAAAACTAGGAACACAACTTCGGTTTGTTCCTATTTTCCACGATTTCGTTACACCAGCAGAACCTACATTTTGGATCAACTTCAGATGAGGTTGCTTTCCAATGAAGTTGAGTAGCTGCTGGGGAAGATTTGGCCATTTCTCTGAACACAACCCCTCTTCACTTGTCACTAAATCTTTCTTCTTCCTAGGGGCCATGTTTTGATATTTGATGACAAGTTCTGAGACATATCTTGAAGTCAAGGCTGAGTTGCATATATATGCAACTTGTAAACGTATCCTCCAAGTCCCACCTGTACTTTTATTATTAATTTTTTTTAGCAGAAAGGATAGTTGACTTCTTGATGCCCAAGTTTTGTTGCACCAGTAAGGCAGTAAACCTGTTCAAGACTCAAAACAAGCCATGCACCTACCATTGTACATTTGTATATGATGGATGTTTGGTAAATGTTGTTAGTTTATTGGGTTAGTGGGTTTGGCTAGTTGATAGCATTGGCTGATTATAAAAAAGTGTTTGGTAAATTAGCTGATAGCTGATTACATGCAAAATGACTTTAACAAAAATTCGATCCAAAAAGCTACTTTGAGCAGCTTTTTGAATTTTAGCATTTTAGAGCAATAAGTTATTACAAAAAGCTAATTAATCAAAGGAAAATACTTAGTGTACTCCCATTTTAAACTCCCAAATTGTACACCCTCTCACATGCTTTTGATGTAGACACTTTTCAGTAGACCCACATGATGAAAATAACTAATCCTGATTTGTCACCTCAAGGAGTATAAATGAGGGAGTAGAATTTTGGGAGTCTATCTAGTAGAACTCTTAATCAAATACTGATATTGATTGTTTAACCAAGTCAAACAACTAATAGTGGTCAAATAAGTCAAAATTAACTGATAAGCTAATTAGGTTACCAAACATAGTAGATCAATTTTTTCTTTCTTTTCCAGATTAACAGAAACCATCAAATGGTCCAAAAGATTATAGTTCACATTCATAAGGGATGGTTAATGGTTTCATCTGTTTGTGAATCTTAGCTTTATTCATAGAAAGCCACTAATTAAGTTATTGTAAAGTCTGCATACTATACGTAGAGTGTAATTCTTGTTAGTGTATCTTTGAAGTTTTGTAATACATTACAATATATAGTTTTGCAATAAACAGAAAAATGGACTGATAATGAATTAGTAATGATTGTTGAGAAAGAAGATAAAGATTTACGTGGTTCAGTAATGTGTCTATCCGCACGAAACTATTATTTTATTAATTGTTGTGATAAAACATTCAGGGTTACAAAGAACACATCATCTTCCAGAGTACATATGAGACATACACAACAATGACAGATTTCATCACACATTATTTTACTGCCCATCTGTGGGCTCTTCCCATTTTGGAGATTTAAGTTCAGAACCATTTAACAGGGCAAAATGGTGTCAGTTTCCATGTCATATAGCCTCCAAGAATCCTTTGAGAGATGAGTGAAGTAAATAGAGTTTCTTCTGCAACCCACTTGGGTTGCAGTGACTGAGAAGCAGCTATTAATCCCTGCAAACAATGTTCTATCACCAAGACTTTCCATCTTTATCCATGAGAGTTCATCCCCAAGCTGAAGCTTCAAGACCTCAACATGATCAACAGACATAACTGATTTTCTGCATATGAGGAAAACCAACAAGATTTCTCCACCGGATTCAAGTAAGTACTCGGTGAAACGCTTTGATGGTACCGAAGGAACAGCGCGCCTTCTGCATAACTTTGTGATATGAAACTGAGAATTAACTTCTTCTATTACTGCCAGAGTTCCCTGCAGAGTCAATGCATAAAATTTGCCACTATAGCCAACTACATTGGTGAATTTCATGAGTTGCTGTTCTGAATCATTGGGGTCAATGAGGGTGCTATCTTGCTTAGACCACTCCAGTGCCCCGAAATAACACCATCTTCTTTCAGTCAAGCAATCTACACGAGAAACTCCAAAAGCAGGAGAATCACAGCCTGTGATGGCCATCACATTGCAGCCATTAGGATCCACTGGAAATGAAGATAAAGTGGCACTTCTGATTGGAACCTGATGAGCATCCCAGGAAGGAAGCATTATGGTTAGGTCAAGAAAGGATTGTGTGAGATCCAAAAAAGAGGAAGGAGTCAAAATCAGGCCATGAGAGCAACCAAGAAACTGGTCCCAACTTTTCTCTGGTGACCTTCTACTTCTCCACCGCCAGCGATAGAAACCTTGATAAAATGAGATGCTGAGAGTGTAGCGGCCATGGCATTGATGATGATCACTATCAGCATGATAAAGTTGAAGCAGTGGGGCTTTAAAACTAGGAACACATCGTCGGTTTGTTGCTATTTTCCACGATTTCGTGACACCAGCAGAACCTACACTTTGGATCAACTTCAAATGAGGTTGCCTTCCAATGAAGTTGAGTAACTGCTGGTGGGGATCTTCACTTGTTACTAAATCTTTCTTCTTCCTAGGGGCCATGTTTTGATATTTGATGACAAGTTTTGAGACATATCTTGAAGTCAAGGCTGAGTTGCATATATATGCAACTTGTCAACGTATCCTCCAAGTCCCCACCTGTACTTTTATTGTTAATTTTTTTTAGCAGAAAGGATAGTTGACTTCTTGATGCCCAAGTTTTGTTGCACCAGTAATCCTGTTCAACAAGAACAAGAAACAATAATAATAGCAGAAATGTAAAGAAGGCAAGATATTAACTGGGATGGTGATGGTGGTGATACAAATTCATATTCCTAATCTCTATAGGTGACAAACTCAACATTTTTTTTTTCTTTTCCTTTTTCCAGATTAACAGAACCCATGAAATGGTCCAAAAGATTATAGTTCACATACAGATATCTGAGGATTTATTTCTTCTTTCATTTGTAGCATTTTCTTGAAATCGATAAACGGTATTCAGTGAGACACAGCAAGCTAGCAGCTCAATCTCCCTTGGAAATACACACAAATTCCCTTTGTATTTTTGGGTTTTGATGCAGCAGCAACTTATATGTTGAGCCAAAAGAGACAAGTTTATAGATGTCAGTTGTACATTCCAGATAAATATATATATATAAATTTTCTTTAAATATTGTTTTTTCTGATAATCTGATCTAACCTAAAAAGGGGTCTTCTTCTTCATTGTGTTTTGTGTAAGGCACTGACTATGTTGCTTTTTCCGCATGCAGTACCATAAATATAAAATGGTACATAGATTTAAAGGATAAAACTTTCACTACTTGTCATAATTTTATTGATGGTAAAAAAATAAAAAGAATAATAAAAACTGTGATTATACTCCTTTTGGATGAAGCAGAGCAGACCACCTAAGTAGGAAGTGAAAAATTAAAGTATACTGTGCAATCCTAATCAAGTTAATCGGTTTGTTAGTTTGGTAATCAGAAGATTATAAGTTCAATTCTTAATGGGAATTTGGTTTGAGCCGATCAGTTTATTTTCTTGTGATTTTTTGTCAAATAGGATCACAAGGACAAGTTTTACCACCTATGTAAATTATGATAAAATTACACAGTAATATCAACTATCAATGAGGGTTGAATGCAACTTAAAGGATCGTCTTGAACTTGTAATATATATTGAGCCATCATAAGAAAAGGTCACGCAGTAATATCAGCCATTAATGAAGGTCAAATTCAATGATAAAAGATTTTCTCAAATACTAGCCTCAATAAAAAAATTTCAACATTGATTACTTTGGTAGTGCACAATTACAATTATACAGTACTTTTAATGTCATTAGTCGATATGAAATTCCAACAATTTAAACAGAAAATATTTTTAATTAGCGTCCAAAAGTAATTAATACGAATATAATTTTTGTAAAATGTAAACATTATTATCTTTAGATTTAATGTGAAAGATTATACTGCAACTAGTATATGATTGCACTGCTACAACTATCAGACATATGTAAAGGATCTTGCGGTGCAATCGTATTAGGTGCGATGCAATCATACCGAGTGCGGTGCAGTCTTTTACAAATTCGCAATTTGCAGATTAAAATTTCTCACATAATTATGAACATATCTTAACATTCACTTGTTGGTACCATAATTATGGCAATAAATATTTTTGAAAAAAATCATTGCTATACTCTTAATGTTGGAGGAAAAATTTATTTCATTTTGCCAAACAACAAAATAAAAATAAAAATGGTAAGTATGTAGAAAATTAGAAAAAGTATAAAGCACACCTCTTCTAATAGGTGCAGAAATCGCGAACAGCGTTATCCAGTATATTGCGGCAGTCCTAACTCTGACTCTCGAGACTCCTTACAGCCTCGTCGTTTTCGCCTCCATTTCTCCCATTTTCAGATGCGCCATTCTTATCCTTCTTCGCTCGTTCTCATCTTCTGCGTAGCAGAGTTCCGTTTGCCGCAAAAATAGCACGAAAGTGAGTTTAAGTGCGGTGCAGTTGTTTTCTGTAAACCCCGCCTATCAGAAAACTGGCATTCTAGAACTGAACAATTTTACAATTTTAATCATCAGACGCTCATGCAGATTCTTGGTCATCTGTGTCTGCTACTCGCTATATGTGTTCTTGAATTTTACAGGAGATTCTTGGCGTGCTTTCTCGTGGTTATGATGATGGATTGTGTTGCTTGTTTGAAGCATCTGGGTTTGAATTTCGATTTTGGATGTGGGTTTTTGGTTTTTGGGTGTTTTGGGGACTTCTTCAAGCTGTTGGGTTTGTTATTGCTTTTTGGATTGGGGTTCAAGGCCTTGCAATTCAGTTGGTTTTGCAAGGGGTTGAATACGTCTCCGTGCCATTTCAGGGGGAAATCAAGTGAATGCAGATGTGGGTTTTGCTCAAGAGATGATTTCGATCGGCGTCCTGGCTCAAAGGCTGGAGCTTGCAAATGCGGGTTATCTAGATCGCTGAAGAATTGGAATTCACCATCGAAGATCGATATGTTGGAAGAAAAAACTAAAGGAAGCGGTTCAGATGGTGAATTTTGTGATACCAATGATGCGGAAGAACAAGAAGGGTATGATGAAGATAATGTGTTTGACGTTATGACGCTGAGAAAAATGGTGAAGATGGAAAGGAGAAAGGCGGAGTCTGTTCACTTGGAGCTCGAGAAGGAAAGAATGGCCGCAGCTAGCGCGGCACAGGAAGCCATGGCGATGATTCTGCGCCTTCAGAATGAAAAGAGCATGATTGAAATGGAGTCCAGGCAGTATAAAAGCTTGGCTGAAGAGAAGCAACTCCATGACCAAGAAGTGATTCAATCACTGCAATGGCTTGTATTGAAGCACGAGGCAGCAGAAAGTACAGTTTTGGGAGACCAACTGAGATTGCGTAGGAAAAGATCAAAGCTTTTTATGAGGAACGATGAAGGGGACCACTCTGAAGATGATGAATTATCTTGGAGTTCTCCTAAAGTCAACTCTGAAGATGCGATCCACCGCGAGCTCTTTAGCTCTCTTGATCTGGATCTCTCACCTGAGTAAGCCTATCAAGTATGCAATTAACTGTTCTCTCTTCATCACAGCCATTTGGTATAACAATCTGAAATTGTCACTGTTTCATTGCACTTTGAGAATAGCAGAAATATAATCATGTTCCTATGTAAATATCCCATTTTAGTTTTATGGTGACACAATAAATGACATGTCTTGAATGACTTTTAGCATTAAGTAGAGATAGATCAAGTACACAATTAACTGGTCTATCTTCATCACAGACCAGAAAAGTCATTTGATATAACAATCTGAAACTGTCACTGTTTAAATGCACTTTGAGAAAAACTGAAATAGTGAAATCATGCCTCCTATAATATGATATTTTAGTTTCATGGTGACAATAAATGACTAATATGACATGGATTCTTGAATGACTTTTTGCTGTTTTATGTTTCTGGAGTATAAAGCACTGTTGAAAATCTTTATTCTAATCATTAATGTGGCAGGTGAGGCAGGTCACAGGTATGATGTGATAGAAAAGGCTTGTAATCAGTTCTTAAACTGATGTTTACTGGTCTTAAACAAAACGGTCATGTTTGGTAACACAGTTATTATCAGTCAATTTTGGTTTATTTTATCACTTATTAGCTGTTTGACTTGGTTAAACAATCAATATGAAAATTTGATTAATTTGTTTTTTGTAACAGTTTATTGATCCAAAATGCTAAAATTCAAAAATTTGCTCAAAGCAGTTTTTTCGATCAACTTTTTAAGAAAGTCATTTTGCATGTAATCAGCTAACAACTAATTTACCAAACACTTTTCTATGATCAGCTAATGCCATCAACTAGTAAAACCCACTAACCCAATCAGCTAACAACTATTTACCAAACACCCCTAATATGTCTTTAGAAAGTCTAACTGCATATTATCCTTTCACTCTTGGATTCTTGGAACAGTCCATTGTTGATTTAGCGAGAGAAGGTATCAGTGATCCAAACCACCTTCTATGTATGTGTTTTGATGATAGAATCTGCTGGTTTACTTCTAGTCACAGCAAGATTTTATCAAGCTCTCCCCTTCTGAATCCCCCCTTTACTTTTTCTATTATGCTTTCTTCTATAAATACCCTGAATTACCATGCTCATGCAAAAGGGATTTCCTGTGTGTCTGGCCCCTTTTTCTGGACCAGGTTACGGTTGATATGTTGCATGATGAAACCAAGTTGGTTAGGTTGTGGGCTTGGTAACTACAAGGTTTTAAGTTCAACCCTCAGTGAAAGTGGCTTATTGGCCTTCTTGGTCTGAGTCTGTCAACTATGAGCAACCTAAGTTGGTCTATTTCTTTGTAATTCTTTGACCTTTTAAAGTTGTAAAGCAAGATTTATTTGTAATGACTACGAGATTTTCTCGTTATTCAAGATGGTTTCGTTGACCATACTACAAGTAGGTTGCGGTGGAGTAATAAGAGATGGCACTGGCCAATGGAAAGGTGGCTACGTCTACAACATTAGGAACTATTCACCTCTAGAAGCTGAGGCATGGGGCATGGGCTCTCTTGAAGGGTATACATCTTGCCATCTTCATGGGATTCAAGAAAGTGATATTCGAAAGCGACTCTAGTGAGATAGTGAAGAGCATCGAAAGCGACTCTAGTGAGATGAATAATTGCTATATATAATTATTAACATCATGATTTAGTAATATTTTTGTGTAATTTGTAAATATAAAAATCTTATTTGTTAACATTTACGCAAATGATTGGTGTCAAGTTTCAAATGTCAAGTATTTATTAATAAAAATAAAACGAGACCGAGTGAAGAATTGTAAGTCAAAAGTATTTAAAAACTTTCGTACCATTGACCATTGTTATTTTACAAATTAAAAGTATAACATCAATAGTGTTATATTTATTTACTATATTATGTTAGTAAAGTTTATGGTGATTATAAACTCATAACCATATTAATTTTTATTTTTAATTTCACCATTTTAAATATAAAATTAAATTACAATAATTAAATCCAACAAATAGGTAGGGTAAATTTATAAAATTTACATTGAAAGATATGATTAATTGTAGAGCGTAACTTTCATACTTAAATATTATGAATTTAATTATTTTCATACTTTCTTGGTCAAGTGGTTAAATCTGTGCAAGACACTCTAGAGTAATGACTATGTAATTCTTTCATCATTCAAAAATTAATTAATTAAAAATATTTAATAATATTTTAGGTACGTTTGAATAGAATTAGAAATAGTGTATTTCAATTGTCCCTAGAAAACTATTACATGACTTATATTTCTTATTTTCAACTTTCACTCTTTTTCACTAATTTTTGTCATTTCTCTGAGACGCAAATAAAAATATAGTATCATTATTTGTCACATTATAAAATAAAAATGGGGATATAATTTAAAAGTACACATAGTAAAACTCTTGTCCTTACCGTTTAGGTACGGTAAAAGATGTACCGGAGCAAACAACGGCACTGTTACGTTACTCCGCGAAAGAGTTCTTCTTCCATTTTTCTTTTCAATTTCTACACTCACGCAAGAATTTCCAAACTTTTGTTTAATCAATCTATTTCCAGGAATTGCATTGTGAGCAGGCAGAGAAGCTCTGTATTGTGATTTATTGGCACGAGAATAGACGCGCGGAACTTCGAAGCTCAGTTTTACTCCTCCAGCAATTTCAGCCATCGTGTTCAGCAAACTCGGTATTTGATCTAGTCATCGCGAAGTTTTCATCGTTAGAATGCAGTTTTTCTGATTTTAATCTCTTTTTTTTTTTCCCCCCCGAGGGCGTTTGATACCGGCAGTTTTAGACAATTGGTCTGCCTGGCTGCTCAAGAGATTTTACTGTTTTATAATTTTCGTTTTGTAAGTAAGAGATGAATCGGTGAAAAGCTGGAAATTGAGTGGGGATGGAGTAAGAACATCTTCATGGTGACTATATCCGTGCATATCTCTCTGTTTTTTTTAGTTGTCTAAAAAATCAGTTTTTTTTTTTTTTTTTTACTTTAAAAAAAATAAAATGTTCCTTTAGGTTTCTCTGATTGGATAAAAATGTTATTGTATCTTCTATGCAGTTGCTCTGAGATTTAAGCATGACTATCAACACTCGGAGAAAGTAGAAGCTTGTCTGGTAAGTCTTTTTCATCTGGATTGTTGCTCATCAATCTCGATGGTGTTTTGGATTTCAGATTGAGTGTTGGCTTTCACTAGCTTGTGTTGTAGCTTACAGTTGTTTTTATCTTTTCTTCAGGGTTTTATTTGTGATATGGCAAGTTATATGGAATCAATTGGAACCCCACAGATGCTACCACCCCCACCTGGGAGCTTCATTGATCGTGAAGAACTTATCCAACATGTAGGAGAGTATGCTCTATCCCAAGGATATGTTGTTACAATCAAGCAGTCCAAAAAGGATAAAGTGGTAGTCCTTGGCTGTGACAGGGGAGGTGTTTATCGAAATAGGCGTAAGCATGCTGATGAGACATCTTGTGAACACCCTCGCAAAAGGAAAACTGGTTCTCGACTCACAAATTGTCCATTTGAACTTCAAGGAAAGAAGGTAGATGGCTTGTGGGTACTTACTGTGAAAAATGCTTCACACAACCATGAAGCTCTGAAGGACATTTCAGAACATCCTTCTGCTCGTTGCTTCTCAGAGAAAGAAGTATTGCTAATTAAAGAGATGTCTGAAGCTGGTTTGAAACCACGCCAGATTTTAAAGAGACTGAGACAAAGCAATCCTGAACTTTTATCAACGCCAAAACATGTTTACAATGTTAAAGCCAAGCTACGACAAGGAAACCTTACTGGTTGAGCCTTGTACTACTCTCTTCATCTGTCATTACAGCATCACACATCTTTCATATGTCTTTATCCACTGTGTGTCTAACTCTGTTACTTCTGCTGTCATTTCTTCAACTTCATTATCAGTGTGAGGGTGAATTTACTGTTAATTAATTTGGTAGTATTTGTTCTTCTTGATGCCATGGCCAACACCCCATTGGTCCATCTTCCATTATTGCAGTCAGGAATCCAGATCAAGCAAATGATTGGTAAGCTGCGATGCGGTGTAAAGAATAAAACTTTAAACAAATAATTCACAACTCTTTTAAGTTGGACTTAGTTAACCTTTAGTCTTGGGAAATAGGGACGTACAATGCTCCACTTGTTAATAACTAGAACTAGCTGACATGCCTATTCTTGAATGTAAATGGTGATTCAGAATGCTGTTTCTTTTTTTCCTTTTGCTACAATTGAGTGAGCTAATTTCTTTCACCTGAATTCTTGATTCCTTGAGCTGATTCACATGATGTAAGAAGGCATGCAAAAGGTCTATTATGTATTTCTGTGATTTCTGACACTCTGGGACCTTGAAAAACTTCTAACAATTAATCTTGATATTTCAATATTACTTTTCTTTAATAGTGAATTATCTTGGTGCTGCAGTTAGGAGGTTGAAAACTTTGAAACCCAGTAGTGAAGAAACTCAGCCTTCAACTTCAGAGCCTTCATGGAGGAAAAACTATCCTCTGGTATGATTTACATAGCTCTATATAGCATTACCTTCTAAAGAATTTGCATTTCTCAAGTGTCCCCCCCCCCCCCCCCCCCCCCTCCCCTCTCTCTCTCTCTCTCTCTCTCTCTCTCATTTTTAATATAATAATAATTGGTATTATTTTGGAAACCCACCCCTCTCCTCCAGGAGGGTGTTGGCCAATCACAAGGAGACTCTCCTTGGCGAATACAATATTTTCAGCAAGGTAATACCTAAAAAAGGATGGAGCACTATTCCAGTGTACATATTGCAACATTAAAGAAATGCCGACTAACATATGGTATTTGTAAACCTATTGAGACACCTATTTGTAAACTGATTCAATTGAAAGCTTCTTACTACAAAAAAGGTGTCTGGCCAGCAAGTCTCACAATGGGAATGTTTGGTGAGAGAATTGAGTCCATCTTGAGAACTTCTGAATCTCCTATCTTGTTGAATTTGGATTACTGTAGAAAGAGCTTTTGTTCTTGTTAATTCTTTGGCCAGACACCTTTTCAGAGTTGATAATATCCTTCATCATGCTTTCTATTGACTATCTGTTTCCTGCTATAAATAATATGGTGTCATCACTCATCAGCATAGGAGGAAATGTAAGATGCTGGGCATCCACTTGAACATTGTATGCAGTGAAAAATTCATTTTTTATTTCAAAATGATAAAGGAAAGTTAAAATGGTGTTTGCTCAGCTTATAACTTAAATTATCTCCTCAAAATGACTTGAATTATACCTCATAATATTTTATTTATTTATTTATTTTTTTCTGTAGAGGTGCCCAAATTTCATTGGTGGTAGATTTCTTGACTCGCAATCATCAGTGTCTCTTGATGTTATTAATCCTGTAAGTGTTGTTGTTTTAAATTTCCATCAGGTGTTATTCTTGGTTAAAGTTTTCATGAAAAAAATATCAACAGGCAACACAGCAAGTGGTTTCACAAGTTCCTTTAACAACTGATGATGAATTTAAGGCTGCAGTATTTGCAGCGAAAAGAGCTTTTCGATTGTGGAGGAACACATCAGTCACACTGCGTCAACGTATTATGTTTAAGTTCCAAGAACTTATTCGAAGAGATATTGTAAGAATGCAGGCAACTCTCACAGTTTCCTATCTTAGATTAATGCTGTAAGGGTTATTTAAAGCATCTATAATTATCTAGGATAAGCTTGCCTTCAATATTACAGCTGAGCATGGAAAGACATTAAAGGATGCATACAATGAAGTGCAACGTGGACTTGGTGAGCACTTCTATTGGTGTTGTTCTGTTGAACTAATTTTGAATTGATGTTAGTCTATTCAATATAAAGCTAGACTTGAATATTACCATTGTTGGTGGAACTAAATACTCTGCAATATTGAGAAGGTTCTTGAAGAAACATTTTCTTTTTCACTTCAAGTTTGGTCAGTGGTCTTTTCTGAGGAAGAGGGTTCTATTTAGCCTTGTGATAGACTGATAGTAAATTATTAATTGTTTATGCTTGTCCTCTTAATAAGTTTTCATGTTCTTTTCCGTAGAGATGGTGGATCATGTTTGTGGAATAGCTAGAATACAGATGGGAGACTTCTTTCCAAATATATCAAATGGAGTTGATTCTTATAGCATTAGAGAGCCTCTTGGAATTTGTGCTGGAATTTGTTCTTTCAACTTTCCATCAATGATTCCATTGTGGGTAAGCCTGTCAGATAATCAGATTGCATTAGTATTTCTTTTGTTTGATTACTTATTTTCAGGAAACTTTCCTGGTTTCTTCAATAAGCTTATGAAAATCTGTAGTATAGTTTTGGTTCAGGAGAAGTGGCAAATTTCCTCCTTTTTTCCTAGTTGTGGGAATATTTGGTTTTGGTCTCTCTTCCTGTGTGTGTGTGTGTGCATGGGTTATTACTGAGATTTATTCAGCTTTTCTGCTCTTAATTGCCTATATTGTTTATTGTGATTCTGTTTTACTCTTTTTACAATTTTATGCAGATGTTTCCTTTTGCAATTTCATGTGGCAATACATTTATTCTGAAGCCTTCAGAGAAATCTCCAGGTAATATGTTTTGCTTCCAGAAGCTTTAAGTAGGTGGGTTTTAATACTACATATTTACTTTCATTTACAAGTGGAGTATCTAGTTTGTATGTCTGCTTTGCAGTGTATTCTAGAAGAGAATTTGGCAATTTGCCTTTAGTATGATATTGCTTTCTATGTGTTTATTGTCTTTTCTTGTCATGCTCTATATTCTGTTTGTCCATATCAGGGGCTTGCATGATACTTGCTGAATTAGCACTGGAAGCTGGTTTGCCTAATGGCGTCTTAAATATTGTTCATGGCACTAATGTAAGCCCTAATTTCACAATTTGAGAAGAAATTTGGTTCATAAGGTCCTCATTTTATCTTGAGTATATACAGTTGAGTTTAACTGTTTAACATGGGTAATCCTTGATATTGATAGCATGCCCTTAACTTTACGTGAATCTTTCTCCCTCATGGCAATTTGTTTGCTGTCTAATATGACAACCTGCAATTGGAACTAGCTTTCTTCAACTAGTTAATTATTTCCTTTATCTTTCTTGGCAGGATATTGTAAATTCCATCTGTGGTGATGATGATATTAAAGTTGTGTCTATTTTTGGTTCTGATGCGGTAAGTTTCCATGATGCTCTTTCTTAATCATTCCCTACTTTATATTTGGTTGTCATCCTGGCAGTCACTGACTTCAATATGCACAAGGATAATTTGGGTAAATTGAAGGTCATATGCTTGAATGTTCAATATGGAGATCTTATTGGAAGGAAAAAAGCTTTAAAAAAATGTGTGCAACCTTCATGGATCAACAGGCTATGGTCTTTTGATCAATGGAGATATGTTGTAATTGTACTTTAACATGTCTTTACTATCACTACCCACCAAGTCTGTCCTTAAATGGAATGCTGCGGGGGAATCACTTTAATTTGCTTTCTGGTTTTAAATGTCATTTTCGCATGTTCTGTGTGGACAAATTAAACTCATGGCTTTTGACATGAAAATAGGCAATAATGTAGTCAATTCATGGGGTGACATGCATTCATTTGCAGGTTAAAACTTAAAAGTCGAGGTTTTATGAAATGCAAAAAATTAGATCAGAAACTGTCGTGCCAAATTGGAAATCTTTGCATGGGGTGACATGCATTCATTTGCAGGTTAAAACTTAAAAGTCAAGGTTTTATGAAATGCAAAAAATTAGATCAGAAACTGTCCTGCCAAATTGGAAATCTTTGCATTTAGTTAGCCTCAGGTTTAGCTATGCACAAGCAAGTTCCTTATCAGTAGGAAATCAATTTGGGAGATACAAAGTCTGTCTTACCTTCCTTTCTAAATGGAAATCACGATAACTTAAAATGTCCTGATTACTGCTTTTATTTTAATATAATGGTGGGAGAACAGTTCCCTCCCCATCCTAGCACACGTTGCACAACTATTGCTGAGAAGAACTCCAAATTGTCCTCACCCATGTTTGATGACAAATGAGCTTCAATTATGTTATATATATTGAGTTGTTTGCTGCATGATAGAGTTCAAGTTAGTGGTTCTGTCACTTCTTGTTTACTGATGTGATACTTTTATAGTTAACCATACATGATTAGTTTTGCAATAATACACACTTGCATGCTTTTTAGACACAAATTTTTATTATTTATTTGGTTATACTAGCAATTTGTATACTTGTTTTATGTTTTATATTTTTTATTTTTTTATCATGTCCTAATGCATGTACTTCTTTTCCCCTTAGTCTGGGATGCATGCCCATGGAAGATGCCCTTCCAAGGGTAAATATGTTCAGGTGATTGAAGCTCTTTTGAATTGGTATTTCTGATTACTGTAGTTGCTTACCTGACAAGTTGATTGCACCCGTCAGGCCAATATTGGAGCCAAGAATTATGCAATTGTCATGCCTGATGCAAACATGGATGCCACTTTGAATGCTTTAGTTGAAGCTGGTTTTGGTGCTGCAGGACAAAGGTGTATGACAATCAACACTGTTGTCTTTGTCGGAGACTCGAGTTCCTGGTATGCCTTTACTTCATTCCTCTAGTGCTTGTAATTTTTTTCTTTTACTTCTGACATTAAACAGGTAGTATGATTATTGCAGTGCTTTCCCAGAATAATGCTATGTCAATATGTGATACATATCAGATGCATTAGTATGACTATGGTCTGTTATAATCTATGTCAGGGAAGATAAACTAGTAGAGCGGGCAAAAGTACTCAAAGTAAATGCTGGAACTGAACCTGGTGCGAACCTTGGTCCAGTAATTAGTAATCAGGTGATTGTATATTTTAGGCTAGCTGAAAAGGTTGCCCATAAATTATATGACTGCCAATCTAGTGAAGTGATAAATTATCTTTAATTATTACTTTCTTTGAGTTTCTTCCACTTTGAAATCCCCATTTTGTACTGGTTCCATGCTCTAGAAGACTCCACTTTGATTCAATTAATATCTTATTTGAGCAATCTGGTGTTCCTAGGCTAAGGAATGGATTTCCAGGACAATCCAGGCTGGTATTGATAGCGGAGCCAGATTAGTACTTGATGGAAGAGAGATTGCGGTATGTAGAGGATTCTTTTTATCTTCACCATTTTCATTTTCATGTTATCAGTGTATATGTCTTTTGTTTTCATTTACTCCCTCATTTAAACATGACCAGTTGACAAACAGGTTTCCAAATATGAAATGGGCAACTTCATGGGTCCTACAATTTTGGCTGACATCAAAGTTGACATGGAATTTCACAAGGTATCTTCATTGTTTTGTCAATAATTGTTGATACTGCTATTTTTAGTAGGTAAACGGAAAATAAGATGAAAACAAGGTGCACAACATTGAATATTTGACAATAATTGATCTTGGCGTGTACAGGAGGAAATACTTGGTCCAGTTCTTTTTTGTATGCAGGTTGGTCAACTGTTAATTGTTTAGTACAACCATGTGCAGTAATTAATACAGAACATAGTCAACATACGCATTGTCCTTTTAATATTTTAATAACCAATAGTTCCCTCTTGTCCTTATCGATCATGTCACAGGCCGGTAGCTTAGATGAAGCCATATGCATTGTCAACTGCAGCAAGTACATTTTTGTATACCTTATTCTAAATTCTCAGTCTCTTTACTTTTTCTAGTTTACTCTTTTTGAGTCATTCTTCTTAAGCAGACTCTGCATTGGAGCCTCTATATTTACTAGTTCTGGTGCAGCTGCAAGGAAATTCCGGACTGAGATTGAATCTCGCCAGGTAAAACACCCATTTGAGTGTGTCAAATATTCAATAATATGTTTTGACGTCTAGAAGTACATCTTCCGGATTGACTACTTCATTGTGATTTCTATATCTCGTGTATCCAACATGTTTATTATGACTTATTGCGGTGATATATTTTCCTTTGTGCAATAATTATGGGGAACTTGATTAAACATTTCTCATATGGACACAATTGCACTCAGGTGGGCATAAATGCTGTTCTTCCTGCACCATTGCCTTTCTTCTTGCTCACCGATTCCAGGGCTTCTTTTACTGGGGATCTCAGTGTGAATGGTAAACACTAAACACACTTCTGTACATTGTCTCTATCAAAATCCATCGTTTTCTTTCTTTGTGATTTGCGGTTTGTGTCACTTATACAGGTAAGGACATACTGAATTTCTACACCCAAACAAAAACAGTGACCCAGCAATGGAAGGATTTCCCCACTAGTGAAGGCACATTCATGGCATCCACATCAAACGATCCCCTGGCTCGTGACAGGGACTTGTCCAATAGCAATGGAGTATCATTGGCGCTACAGTCTAAGGATTTCCAGTGCAGCGACGTAGAATCTCTGGGTGAGCATTCGCGGGATGTCACGAATAGCAGTGGAATATCACCAGCAATGGCAGTGTCAGAAGGATCATCACACTAGGCTTTGAATTTCTGAACATGATTGTTCTTACTCTCTTAGTCTTACCGAGCCCCCACCATGCTTACCCAGAAAAAAGCGAAACTCCTCGCCCCGAGGGCCCACCATACTGTGATTGTGGTTTGCAGCAGACAAGCATTATTCTTCAAAGTGAAGTATACAATGTTATATCCCATCTTTTCAACTTCAACAGGAAAATGAACCTGCTGGAAAGAGAAGATGAACATAAAGTCCCATTCTTTCATTTCTTTGGTGGCTTGCAAATTATGTGCTCCTTTTTTACCTTTTTGGTTGAAGCTGCGTGTACCCCACTTCCCTGTGCTTGGGACAATGCTTTAACGATTTCATGCGTGTTCCCCACTTTCCAAATGTCAATTAAAAATCATTTTTTTTTTTTCTTTTAAACTAGATTTGGCTACTCGGTCTTGTGTGCTTAACACCGACGCAAATAAATATACTTATCTGATACTGACTCATCTCAGACATGTAATGTTTTTTAATAAATAATTTTAAAATATTAACAAAATGTTGTTATACAGCAATGCTTATACTGTATATTATGATTCACATAGCAAGATGAATTATTATATATGTTCATTTTTAGTAATTTATTAAAAATAAATTTGTATCAGATAAATTCAGGATGTGATATAATTTTTTTTGTGGAAATGTGGAAGTTTGATTCTTGTTATGAATATTTGGAGGCTTAATTTGAGATGGATTATTTTTGTGTACAAGTGTATAGTGTTTAGGGCTGTTAACGAACCGAACATAAACGAACGAAGGTTGTTCGTGTTCGTTTGTTAAGAATTTTGGGGTGTTCATGTTCGTGTTCGTTTGTTAAGGTTTTTGAAAATCCTGTTCGTGTTCGTTTGTTAAGCGTTCATTAGTGTTTGTTAACGTTCGCGAATACGTTCACGAACGTGTTCGTTTACGTTAACGAATATGTTCGCGAACGTGTTTGTCAACGTTCGCGAACACATTCACAAACGTACATGTTCGTTAACGTTCACAAACATGTTCGTTAACAAACACGTTGACGAACATGTTGGTGTCCGTTCATGAGCACGCTGTGAACCTTTAATAAACAAACACCTGCACATGTTCATGATCACAATTCGTTCGTGAACAGGAAATAATCTACGTTCATGTTCGCGAACGTTATTAAACAAACACTAAACGAGCTTGTTCACAAACATTATTAAACGAACACAAACGAGCTTGTTCACGATCTCTTAGCAAACGAGCACACAATTGTTCAAGCTCTATTCGTTTATTAACCGAGCTCTAATTTTTGTTTGTTAATGGTTCGTTTACCTTAACAAACGAACATAAACGAACGTTTACCGAACACGAACACGAGTAGTTTGTCGAAAACTCTGTTCGCTAACACCCCTAATAGTGTTAAATTTTAAATTTATAGGATACGTAGCCGAAAAAATGAAAAATCTAAGTTATAAAAACAAACAAACAAAAGGAACGGGCCACCGTATGAAATTGTGCTTGTCGTTAGTACAAAGCCCGAGTGCTGACTCAGTAACCAGTCAGCCAGCGAGGGAGATGAGTTACGCAATCTGCTGGCACTGAACAATCCCTGCCTTTTTCTGAGGTAATCAAGCCATCAAATTTTTGTCCAAAAAAAAAAAAATGTCACTCCAAAAAATTTCACAAGCAATTACGGTGCAACTCCACATTACAATTGTCTGGGCAGTCTAATCCACAATCAAACAACTGAGTAACAATTTCTTGATTTCTTTCAGGCGTGGAAATTATATTATTTTTAACTCCTTAGACGCCGACCATCTGGCTCGTCGATAAAACTGTCATAACGGGCCGTACGATATTCTCTAAGCGGCGTGACCCATGCAATTCTGATAAAATGTCACGTGGAAATCCCACGCTTCTGAGTTCTGACCGATTTGCAAATTGCAAGGGCTATAAATTAGAATGGTAAGTTGAGAGGCTTTAGGATCTAATTTAGGCGATTTATTTTCTTTCTTTCTTTAATGAGAAAACGATATTCTTTATTATCTACTATAAAATTCTACCTATTATAATTTCTTTTTAAATGACACTTGGGCATTGCTAATTTCGTGGTGTAAGTCAAACAAGCCATTCAGCCAAGCAGCCAGCAGCCCGCAAAATTTATTTTCTCCATTTTGACAATAGGACAAGCTATCGCGGCTCTTTTATTATAAAAATTAATTAACCCATGGTTCCAATACAGTCAATCCTTCTCCCAAAATATTAAATTCCTAACTTGAAGGACTCCACATTTGATCCAAAGATAAGATCAAATGTCGATGCACACAAGAGATCTGCTCACTTTGAGCATATATGCCAGTGGAAAATTGAAATAGGATGATTTTATATATATATATATATATATATATATATATATATATATATATATATATATATATAATCTAAAAACATAATAAGTGTGAATGAAAGTTATACCCCTCATTTATGTCCGTTAAATTTTTTTGTACATTATGCTATACAAGTTGTACAATTTTGGACAAACATACCCCTACCATTATAACTTTCGTTATCTTTTTCAGTATTGTTACTATGCACATGCATCCACCATATATTTTCTTATCTCTTTCAATAATAATAATATATACACATTATATATTTGAGTTATATGTTAATTATTACCGAAAATATAAATATCAAATTTATAAAAATAATTTACATTATTATTATTATTATTTAGAATAATTTAAATATCTAAAATTTAAAATTTAAAATTTTAATATAATGTATTAATATTGGACACCTATTTTTTACGCATCGCGCATAAAAAAATATTAGTATATATATATATATATATATATATATATATATATATATATATATATATATATATATATATATATAGAAGATAGAAGATTATATATAGATATAGAGATATAGATGGCATTTTCTTATTAAATAAGACCCTCCCAAGCTACATTAACTAGTAGTATTGGGAAATGGGAACTATGGAAAGTCACATAATCAAGGGCAAATAAGTGAATTAGAGGAAAAACCGAAAAGTTCGAATCGCTAATTCGCTACTAATCTTCTATGGGGACAAATACGTAAAATCATTCTCATATTCTGGCATTTTACTCCGCCGCGCTTATATATACCAGGGGGTGGCTTCTCTATTGTTTCATCTCCGACATCTCATACCTCCAAAGCTCAACCGCGAACACCATCCCTGTTTCCTCCTTCCCTCTCCCTCTCTCTCTATAACTCAGATTGATATATATAGAGAGAGCTATATATATCCACACAAATCAGATCAGGTAAATATATAGAGAGAGGGGATAATAATGGAATTGGGAAAAAAGTTCGCTGTTCTCTTGTGCGCAGAGGACTCCGAATACGTGAAGAAGAAATACGGGGGTTACTTTGGGGTTTTCGTGAAAATGCTGGGCGAGGAAGGCGAAATCTGGAGGGTATTCCACGTGGCGAAGGGGGAGTTCCCGACGGACGCTGAGATCGGAGAGTTTGACGGCTACGTCATCACCGGCAGCTGCAATGACGCTCACGGCAATGACATCTGGATCTGCAAGCTCCTCAATCTTCTCAACAAGCTGGATGCCATGAAGAAGAAGATTTTAGGCATTTGCTTCGGCCATCAGGTATTCCTCTATTATTTTTGTTAATAACAATTTTTAAAACTTGCTTCCATCTAATTTTTATTGATTTTTATAGAGTATTTTTTAAAATTATCACGATGATGATAGTAGATGCGTAACATCATTAATCGCTGATTAGTTTTGACACATCATCACTCCATAATAGATTTTTTTTTTTCTGACAATTGACCCGAAAGTGATAGGTGAGTGAATCATGATTCTCGTATGAACGAGTTATTTGGATTCTTCTGAGTATAGTGATTTTGCCCATTTTGCCCATCTTAAACTTTGAAATAGCCGTGATCATTCGACTTTCAAATTGTTACTGTTTGGTTAAATTTTAATTGCGAATGATAACAATTTAAAAGTCAAAAAACTACGTCACAAAATTACTATATTCGGAGGACCCATATGAACTCTCGTATGAAGATATTATGGGTTTAATTTTTTATCAACAAACTCCAACTTGTGACATCGATTTGTGCGATTTCTCTCTGGTCTAATTTGTAAATTATTAGACAAAGTGGATTTACCCTGGTAAATTTCTCTTGTAATGTTTTATGGAGTAATAAATAATATACTAAGAACTCAACTAATAAATTTCTTATGGACTTAATACTAGTTCAAATATTATAGATATTTAGAAAGTCTATGTAGTCTAATTTATTTGTGAGTCACATTACATTAAATAATATGGCATGTGCTAACACATTTTTAATACAAAAAAAAAATAACATTATTTCTTATTTATTTATATATACTTGATTTTATTCAAATGTTAGACATTTGTACCATTTAAATGTTAGGTATACTTACAAAGGTTTTTGTGTAGTCCTAATTTATTTATGAGTCATGTTACATTAAATAACATCATGCTTTGAGTGCGATTTTAATTTGAGAAAATAGCATATTTCTTTTATTTATTTATACTTGATTTGATGCATTCTAATATGTTCGCTTTCATTTTAAATGGATATGATGTGAAATTTTTGTGGGATCAAAAGAATGTTATACAGATAAGTGTATATATATTTATTAATATAGTATCTAGGTACAAAATACACATGGTGTTCATACTTTATATAATACATCATAAACTCGATTGACATGTGTAATCTTGATGGGATGTGCATGGCATAATTTGTATATCTTTCTATTGATTCATATAAGTTGTACATAAATGATGTGCAAACCCAATTAATATGATGTGTATGGCACTGATATAGCCTAACTAGTTTCTACTGTTTTTTTTTTTAAATAAAATTTTTTAATATGAAGCATTGGTCGTTTTATAATTTGGCACGTTCTCACTTTCTCTTTAAATTAAACTTTTCTGCTTTGCTACTTTGCTAGTACGTGGGCCGTGGCTTTTAGGCTTTTCCAGGGAGTCTGATTAGACACCAATAGTTATTGCGGACCGTGGTCCACATGATGTGGACCACGATTCAAAAACGATGTCATTTCGCTTATTTTTTTCACGTGATTCAGTGTAATATACATTTTTATCATTCATAATGTACATTATTTTAAAATATAATGTACATTATTCTCATTCATAAAGTACATTATCTCACTCCAAAAATTTTATTATTCTAACACAATGTATATATTATTTTAATACATAAAAGTACATTATTCTAATACATAATATACATTATTCTAACACATAATATACATTATTCTAACACAAGGTATATTATTCTAATTCATAATGTATATTATTTCTAACTCATAAAGTTCAATTACGTGATTTTTGACTGTATTCGTGGTCCAAACAATACTTTGCTAATTAGACACCTACTTGGCTACTTCTATATAAATTGTTATTAAGAAATTAACTCTATTTCATTATAATTATATACGGAGTATTTTATATTTATATTTATTTATATAAACTAAGATGTCAACGAACAAAATTAAGTATAAAGCCGTACGGGCCTTAAATCTTGCTTGAAACTGTCTTGGTAATACTTTGTAATAAAAATATAGTAATATTTTTTTTAAAAAAAAGTCAACAAATATATTCAATACTAAGGTAACATAGTATATTTGTCTTCAGTTCAACAACTTGATGTGTGGGCACACCAATATGGGCGACCAAAATTTTATTATTCAGGAACTATTTAATAATTTTGTTTATTACACTTAAAATTTAGTATACATTCTTGAAAGAAGATGTCCCGTTGAGGGATAATTTTCCTTCAGAAATATTCGTAATCGTTATTTGAATGTACATTTTAAATAATGTCTAATTGTCAAGTTGTCTGACTCAAATTGAGAAAGTCAACATATAGCTTTCATAGAGATTTGAACTTGACTTTATAGCTCTGGCTAGGACCAGTTTTTGAAATTTTGTGGCCCCGTTCTTATAAATAAATGAGGTCCTACCAAAAGTATAAGTGCAATCTTTAAAACCAATACCGTAAAATATATGATTCTTTTTTTTTTTTCAGTTACAAAATGGTTTGCCATGTTCAATTAATTAGGTCCTAATTATTAAGAGAGAGAAGTGATTTAGAAAAAAAAATTAATTAGTTTTAAGATTAATTTTTAGATATTTTTTAATTTCTTAAATAGCTAGGTCAAAAATAAATATTTGGTTTTTTAAAAATTGAGACTTTGTGTCGTTGCTTATCTTACACGCCCTAAAATTTGTCCATATAGCTCCCCATAACTTCTTTTGATTTATAAAAAAGTTCACAATACCTACACAAAGGTATTTCATTAGGTGAAGTCCATCTTGTGATCTTATCTAAGAATAATAATGAGGTAAACTAAGAAAGTTTATAGATATCCCTATCAAAAAGCCAAACTTAAAATCATTCTCAGTTTGTCACTTTAATTTGGTCCCCTCCACGTGCTGAAATATTCACACTGCAAATTTGTCTACAGCCCACGTAATTCAAGAAAGTGACTTCAAATTGGTCTCTGTTTTTTTTTTTTGGAATACACCTAGAAAGCAAAGCTCAACAACTTTAACAAGTGTCCTCGGCATCTGTTTCCAGATGCATAATATTTTCTTTAAAACTCTCAACAATATTTCATCACTCACCAAAACTAAATAATTCCCACATTTATTTCCTTTGTTACGTATCATATGTGTCAACTACTATTGTATAAATTTATTGCGATCTGACTGGAAAGATGAGAGTCACTCTTCTTATCTTCTCTCTCACTATGTAGTATGTGTATGTCTATCATCACTTTCTTGAATATGTAATCTTAAGTTAGGATGTCTATCCCCAATTAAGTTGATAAGAATTCAAGTTTGATTCCATATAGGAGCTGTCTATTGGTGTCATTAATAGTCTACTTAAAATTGGCTTACACCTTATAATTTTTTGCCGATTATGGTCACAAGGCAGACTTCACATTCAGCACACTTCCAAATATCGACTTCAAATCTTACACATTCCTAAATAGTCTCTTTTTTTATATGGATGAAAAGGTGCCAAGATTTGCTTCCCTAACCAAAAATTGAAGATGTCTCATGTGAAATGTGTCAACTGGCTTTTCAGTTTTCTTTTATCAGCTTATTATGTATCTTATACAAAAAGGGTGTGTTGATGTGATCAGATACTGGGACGATCGTTAGGAGGGAAGACAGGCCGAGCAACATCCGGGTGGGACATCGGTGTGACGGACGTTCATATATCACCGTCCAAGCTTTTCAGCTCTTTAAACCTGCCTACTTCCCTTCATGTTATTGAGTGCCACCGAGACGAGGTAATATGTTCCACAGAAACAGTTTCTCTTGTTTATGTATATATTCCGAATCTATAATTTTGTCTGAATAAAAATGACTGGACTGGATATGAGGAGCAGATTATAGAACTCCCAGCTAAGGCAGAGATCATGGCATGGTCGAACAAGACCGGAATTGAAATGTTTAGATATGGAGATCACATCATGGGCATTCAAGGTCACCCCGAGTACACCAAGGATATACTCGTGCATCTCATTGATCGCCTTAGCCAACGTAATCTCATTCAGGATGACGTCGCCATTTCTGCAAAGGCGAAGCTGGGTGCATATGAGCCAGACAGGGAGGCGTGGAGGAAGCTGTGCACTGGCTTTCTCAAGGGTAGATTGTGATGGGAAGCCTGGAATTTCCTTGGGGTCTTTGATGGGAGTGTAAATAGAAGTAGAAGAAGCCATTGATGAGAAGGTATTGAAACCCTCGGCTTCGGATGGATATTCCATAACACGGTCTTGTTTATTTCGTTCAATGCTGTTGAACAAATGACAAACTGGCCTGTACTTGAATAATGGAGTTTTGGCACTTGAATTAAATTATTTAGAATTTTCTATGTTCTCCGTGTTCTTTATCTAGTTACTCTAGTTCTTTTGATGTCACAACATTCAAGAAAATAATCATTTTTGTAACGAGATAAATTCAAAGGCACTAACATTCTAATTGGTAAAGGACTCCATAATTGATCAACTATCACTAAGAATTGAGTTGATTTTTGTAACAAGGAATTGAAAATTCAAAGCCACTAACATTCTAAGTGGTAAAGGACTCCATAATTGATCTACTACCACTAACAGGGCGTTTGGTTGGAGGGATTTTAAATTCCCTTCCCACTTAATTCCCACCTAATTCCAAAGATCATTAAATTCCGTAGTTTGATTGGAGGGAATTGCAATTCCATGGAATTGTAATACCCCAATTTTCATGGAATTAAAATCCTATGTCCCCCCTGGTATTTTAATTCCTGGGAAAAAAAAGATAGTGATGAGTCAAAATTACCCCTTTTTTTTTTAATTTAAAATTAATGTCTAACAACAATAATTGACATTTTTGACTACTTATTCCCTTTCAATTCCCATGTATACCAAACATTGGAATTAAATTCCCAGTAATTCTATTCTTGTCAACCAAACACTGGAATTTAAATTTCCATTTATTCCCAGTAATTCAACTCCCATGGAATTACAATTCCTTTCCCACATAATTTCCCCCCTCCAACCAAACGCCCTGTAAGAATTGAGTTGATCAAACTAAAAAGACCAATAAATCGCTCATGTTAAAAGTTAAACTTAAAAGAGATATGGTTACTTATAGGGATTATTCTCCAAGCATTGTACCTATACGTTAAACTTAAAAGAGATATGGTTACTTATAGGGATTATTCTCCAAGCATTGTACCTATACGTTGATCAGTACTAACCCCATGGGCTTAGTCCAACCGCACCGACCACTTCCGGTCTTCATGGAATTACTTCCCGGCCATCATTACCGTCCAAGATCCAGTAAAGGATGCTCTAATTCAGGGAATGTCATCATCTTTGTATCTGGGCTACCAAGGTCGGGCCGATCATCTCAATCTCATGGTCCAATCACTTCAGGAATCTTTGGGCCGCCACTTTCACCCTGCATGGCCGCATGCCTCTACGCGACGGTCCTCGATAGGCTATAAATACTATAAATACCGTATTCATTGATGTTAAGGGGGACTTTTGGATGTTTACATACATGACAGCTACCGAGCTCGAGAACCTCTAACCCACTGTCACATTAATTGGCTCTCTATCAGTTAAATCAAGGGCGCTTTATCAGTTAAACCAACGGAACCGACCTGGATCCGAGTTGTGTACAATACGCTTTCGTCCCATCAATTACCTTAGAAGTCATAGTTGATCGGTTCAATAAAAAGAGGTTATTAGGATTCTAATGAGAAATCAAATTCTAAATTTTGTAATTATTAAGTTAATTGTTTTACCAATTTGGTTATAATTACCCTGTAAAAAATAATGATCTTAATACTAGGTAGAGAAGGACAAATGGAAGCCAATAATAGCATCTATCATACATCAAGACTATTAGGAAACAAATGGCACAAGATAATGTGACTATAGTTTGTCCAAAAACCATGATGTTCAATTCAATCAACCAAAATTACAAAAGTTTATTGGAAGCAAAACTACATTAACCACAAGTAAGGTAAATGCATGTGTGCCCATTCATCATTGAGAACCACAGAAGGCCTTCAACAATCATAATGTGAAGTCTTAAGCATTCAGAGCAGAGTTCCTTCGGCATTCAGATAGCATATCCATGTAGAATTGGCACTTGGTAATGTCGCTCCCATAGCTATTCAGACACTGCAATAAGTTGACAAATTGCATGTTAAGAACCACTTCCAGAATCAATGTGTCATAATAAGAACTTTACTCCTAAGAGTTGGGAAATCCAACACATGAAGGTAAATAAAGAGTTGACATACATCTTGGAAGGCCTTAGTTTGCAGACTGCAAGCATCTGAGCCACTCAAGCTGTTGGGTGGGGATGCTTGAGCTGGAATAGTCTCGTGTTGAATGGTTCGAGGACCCATGACAGCATCTACTGCCCGGTGTGCCACAGCACTTCCAGTGCCAAAAGCCATGCCTGTGACAATGATGGAGAATACAGCAATTATGGCCCAATTCCTCCATAGAAAGAAAAAAAAATGCTTCTTATATCACAGGAAATATCTACTCACCTTGAGCTATGGTTGATCCAATGCCCAGTCCCCCACTACTGGTCTGGAGAGGAGCTGGAGGAGGAGCATGGTTTACTGCAACAACATACGATAGACAACAAAAGAAGATCAAAAGGGGACCATAGAAAGGTTAATCAGTAAATAACTTTGCAAGTGCAAAAGGATACCTGGAGCAGGAGCTGGAGCTGGAGAACGTCGAGGTGCTGCACGTGGTGCAGATCTTCCTGCATAGCGATATAATAATAACAATAATCAAGCAGTTGCAGAGGAAGGGAAGAAGTAGCAGGAAGTTAAAAACATGTTAGAAAGACAAATGTATTAGACACCTAAAACAAATCAACAAAAAGGACTAATGAGGCAAATGTAAGACTAAAAATAAAACTTAACAAAGACAGAGAACAAGGTCTGAAAAAGTATGACAAGATGAGGAGATCAAACATTTTAAAAAGAAAAACACATTAGATGCCAGGACTATGATTTAGAAGGCACAAATTAAAGAAATCGAATTAAGTTTCACAACATTGAAATATGATTCAAACTCAGCTACTGCCTATCCTAATAACTCCACCCAGTGCACAAATCAAATATTTCACATAAGGCCATATAATCAATAAGCTAAATATGGTTCAGACAAACTTTTTACCAGCTCGCCTTTAGGTAAACAAAAGAGCCCAAATAAACCAGAGAAAGAAAAAACTAATAACAAGTACTGCATAAAGCATTGGTTTTTCAACTTTTAATAGGTTATTACGTAGTACAAATTTATTTTTCTTCTTCTTCTTCTTCAATGTCTATAAATCAAGGCTCGAACACTGAAATCCACTGCCACTAATGCATTTATGATTAAATAATCATCGCTCCCATTCATCCAAAAGAAAATCCCTTTCTCTTATCCAGAACCATCAGCAACCATAACAGAATAATTCAACTATGTACACGTAATATATGCCTAAGAAATTAGCACGATTGCATGTTGATCCAATCAACGTAAAGATAAAACTGAGGATAATCTGAGAAACTCACCGCCAGAGCTTCGGCGAGGCATGTCGTGGGGAAACCTAAAAAGAGAGAGAAAATTGACGAGAGAGACGGTTGATAAACGGTTGCGTAATATGGGATCCTTTCACGGAACGCCGGAGACGATGCGCGCATTTATATATATACGCTGAATGGAGATATTTGGTCAAGTCAGACGAGGTTTAGATTGCGAGTGTTACGTGGCAATATCTCGACCGCTGCACGAGTTCCTCTAGTCTCCGACCACTCGATATGAAGCCCACGAAACCGACGCTGGGGCAGAGCGTTCCCGATTCGCGGATTAGCAGAGAATATGCGCGCGTTATCTGGAGACTTCGTTCTTGACGTCTTGTTCTACTGTTTTAATTAATAAATTTCACTTTTTGATCCCTCCTTATTTTATATGTATCAAATTTGATCTTTGACTATTAATATTTTCAAAGAGTTAATACCCAAAATAGTCCTTCGACTATGTCGTAATTACTAATTTGGTCCTCGACTATCATTCTTACTCAATTAAGTCCTCAACTATACAATTTTTACCCAATTTAGTCCTTTGTCAATTTGACTGTTTGTTGACTGTCAAAAGTGAAAATAAAGTTGTAATTTTACAAGTTTTATACTTCCTCCTCATTTAGCAGCGCCAAACCATGTAGCAATAAGCTCCGGTTGGGTTCTAAACCTGTCAGTATCGAAATAGTGGTTATGCATCGGATAGCCCATGAATTTGATTTCCAACGATTTTTTGACGATCGAAATCTGATCGGAGTGTATTGCTGCATGGTTTGGCACTGCTAAATGGAGAGGAAGGAGAAATCTTGTAAAATTATAATTTTATCCCGACTTTTGACAGTCAACAAATAGTCAAATTAATACAGAGGAATAAATTGGGTAAGAATTGTATAGTTGAGGACTTAATTGAGTAAAAGTTACATAGTTGAGGACTTAATTGGGTAAGAATGGTAGTTGAGGACCAAATTGGTAATTATGGCATAGTCGAGGGACCATTTTGGGTATTAACTCATTTTCAAATTAAATTATTTAAGTGCATGATTATATCATTTGTATTATATTTGATTCTTGATTATTAATATTTTTAAATTAAGTGTAATACTATATAATTTGTATCACATTTGATCATGTTGTCTAATTTTTTACCAAGCTTTTTGTTAACTATTGCCGAAATTTTGATGAGAAAAATAAGAATTTTTTGTACTTTTACAAATGAGATACAAATTACATAATCATGCACCTAATTTGAAAATATTAATAGTCAATGATCAAATTTGATACATATATAAATTAAAAGTGAAATTTATTCTGTTTTAATTTTTAAACAATGTTATTTTCTCAAATATTTACTAATTAATTTTGTTACATGTAATATAAATAAACATTAACTGAAATGACTGCATCAACCCAAAATAATCAATAGTAGATCAAACTCACAAAAATCCTCGTCTTGAGGGGTATACTTTTCAAACAAAGACATATCTTATTTAAAGAATTAAAGTGACGATTATTGAGTAGTTGATTCTCAAGTTAGGAAGTCTCTCGTTTTAACTATGCACTAAGTAAGAAGTTGGGAGTAAAAATAAGGAGTACATGTATTTTCCAGCAAAACTCCTAACTCAACGATTAGTTGATGGAAGCAAAAAGCAAAGTTGCATTTGTTCCTCCAAAGCCAAACGAGTTCGATAGAGCAACCTTAGCATCTATCTGCTTCGACGCTGTCAATGGCGTGAAATCACCAGTAAATATGGGATCTGGTTTTTTAAGGTTTAGCGTCAAAGGCGCCATTCCCTGCAAAAAAAAAAAAAAAAAAAAAAAAATCCCAACAATCAATGGCCTGCTAGATAGTTGTAAGAGCAGAAAAGATCAAACAGTTTAAAGATAGACTTTGTTAGTAAAAGCATCCTATATAATTCACTTCAAATGCAACAAAAGCCCGTGCCAAATCCGGATTACTGGATTAGTATCACATTCGTAGGAATATCAGGTGTTGTACGCCCAAAAAAATAAAAAAAAATAAAAAAATGCAGCAAATGTAACGTACATGGCGTAGTGCTAGTATAGCAAAAATAGCTTCTACAGCTCCAGCTGCCCCGAGTAGATGGCCAATCGCACCCTGGTGTTTTGGCACAAAGTAAGAAACAACCCGAATGGTGAATACAGAATACCGGAGTATATCTCAACTTTTATGTGATGAATATCGATGAAAACTAAAATTTCTGTTAGCAGCTTAATGAATATTTCAAGGTTAGGTCAAGATGTATATAGTAGCTGGAGTAAATGATTGTGAGCACTCGACTCTGAGCTTACCTTTGTCGAGGAGAAGGCCAGAGCACCAGACATTGCATGATCCGAAAATACATGTTTTATTGCAGTAGCTTCCACAGCATCACCTGAGAAAGGGGGTACGTTGACTAACAAGTTATTTGAAATGTTAATGTATTTCTAGTGAAATTGTTTCAATTGTAAAAATCGATTATAATTTGTGATATCTAACTACTACTACCCAAAGGTGTAGACGTTGCGTGTGCGTTTATGTAACCCACTTGATTAGGATGGAGACCAGACTGCAAAAGGAATAACAAACTATAGCATGTTAGTTAAAGAATAAGATAAATCCATGTGTATGCAACAACGCCTTTGGGAAGGTTGCTCCTAAGCGGGACCTGATTGAGATTCAGCTGGATTAGTCCCATCCCGTAGGAAGGCGGCCAAGGCGGGATGCAGATACTAGTGCAATATACCCCAAAAAAAAAATCACCACCACACCATCATAAAGAAAAATGTGGGTGGAATCGGGTGGCGTGGAGATTCAAACCCATGACCTTTGGCATGGCTCTGATACCAAATTAAGCATGTGCTCCATCTCAACTAAAAGCCTAAGCTGATAGTTGGATTGCACATTTATGTTTATGTTATATTATATGCTCAACAACAATAAGAGGGATATGAACACACTGATAATTGACTATGCCATGTCAGCAGTAAATCTCATTGCCGCACTATCTCACCTGCTTTAGAGCACGTGTCATGGCCAGAATAGCACCTCTTCCACTAAGATGTGGTTGAGTAATGTGATATGCATCGCCTGAACAAGTTAGTAAGGTTGCGTCAGAAAGCTGAAACCAAATTGGGAAATGGCAAACAGAGTAATCCAGCATATGCATATGTGATTGCATACACAAAATACAAACCTGAGGTTCCATAGCCACGAACCTCAGCATATATCTTAGCCCCTCGTGTTTTTGCATGCTCCAATTCCTTGGGAAATAAAACCGAACGTGTGAGATATAAAAAATAAAAAAGAGGAATGCACCAATTGCGATATTACAAACTAAAAAATAAAAATAGTCATATCTGATCAAAATGCAGGTGAGCCAATGAGTGAAAACTAACCTCCAATACTAAAATACCAGAACCTTCACCAATGCTGCGATTCAACAATACAGAAGAGATATTAGAGAGAACGAGATAATTCAGATCCAATCAATATAAGAAAGCCTCTGTAAGTTGAATTATCACTTACACAAATCCATCACGATCGCAATCAAATGGCCTTGAAGCTTCTTGTGGTGCAGCATTATACTTGGTAGTCAATGCTCTTGACCTGCATTAGAAATACCACTTCGTTTAAAAGCAAAACATATCAAAAGGCACATTCACAAGAGAATTTATCCAGGATTCTAAGCATGTATGTAGAATGGAATCATTTGCAGCCATGCTTGAACTTTGAAGAATGATTTTTCTTTTCAAGTTAAGAATCTGCAACCTGATTCTATAATGGCAAGATATTACAGTAAGCTACTTTCAGACCCCTGGCCTTAATGATATAAATAGCTGGCTCCAAAATTGAGATCAGGAAGTGTCACACTAAAATTCAAAGAGATAAATGTTGAGCATTATGCCATTACCTACAAAACCCCGCAATAGATAAAGCATCAATGCTGGCTTCAGTCCCTCCAGCAACCATGACATCCGCATCACCAAATTGGATCATCCTAGTAGCATCCCCAACTGAATGTGCTCCCGTGGCACAAGCTGTCACTGCAGCATGGTTTGGTCCCTAAATTCAAATACAAGACTAGAATATACAACTATCTTTAAAAGATTTTATTCAACATTAATATAAAAAATGCAACTAATGTGGTTGACATACCTGAAATCCATACTTCATGCTTACATGACCCGAAGCCATGTTGATCAGTATCCGTGGGATGAAAAATGGACTAATCCGACGTGAGTTCTACAACCACAAAGTGAATGGTTATCTGTTATAATACTGAAATTCCTACATGCTCATTGGTTATATTCAAGTCCATGCCTGAGGATATGACTGAAATATGACTATAAACAACTTAAATAAGCATGTTTATGATAAGTGCTTTTCAAACAAGCTCCATAAATAAGTTTATAATAGTTTAAATGGGATTGGTATTTCAATTGGCTCCTGGAGAACTGTTGTTCAGCTTATTCTGATAACATTAAGCTAAAAACAGCTTTTCAAAATCCATAAGCTGTTTTTATCAGTCTATCCAAACACGGCACAAACTGGCTCCAAGTATTATAGCAGTAGATAAGCTCAATACACTAAAAATAAGTTCATCCAAACTGGGCATACATATATGAACTAACTTATAATAAGTAAGCAAGATTTGCCATTAACTAACCTTCTCGCTGATCATTCTGGATGCATCCAAAATATCAACAATGCTTCCAGTTCCAGCACCTATGGAGACTCCCTGATAGATTTCTGCTTAGATGCCAACACAAAGCAGGCGAAAATCACATTTTGATATCAAAGCAAAGAAAAATACATACTGTTCGCTCCTTCTCATCCAAGGTGGTCGGTATCCAATTGGCATCCTTGAGGGCTTCATCAGCAGCACATAATGCGTACCCTATAAACCTAGCAA